GCACTGTTCACGCTTCTGAGGATACTATTCACACTTCTGCGGGCACTGTTCATGCTTATGCGCTGCCTCCGCTTCTGCGAGTACTGTTCACGCTTTTGCGATACTGTTCACGCTTCTGCGATCACTGTTCATGTTGCTGCCCAGAAATTCCAGCAACTTTTCTTCAAATCCGAATTGATCCGTTAACCTTGCGGAATCTATCCGAGGTCCTCGAAACCTCAACCAAATATACCAACATGTCCCAAAATACAATATGAACTTAGTCGAGGCTTCAAACCATGCCAAACAACGCCGAAATTATGAATCGTGCATCGAATCGAATTATGAGTTTTCAACTCTTCCAACTTCTATATTTTGCGCTGAAACGTATCAAATCAATCCGGAATGAATTCAAATTTTGCACACAAGTCATAAATAACGAAATGGAGCTATTCAAATTTTCGGAATCGAAATCCGACCTCGTTATCAAAAATTCAACCTTCGGTCGGACTTTTCACAAATCTTCCATTTTCCAACTTTCGCCAAAATGCGTCGAATTGTCCTACGGACATCCAAATCCAAATCCGAACATACGCCTCAGTCCGAAATCACCATACAAAATTATTGACATCATAAAAATTTTATTCCGGGGTTGTTTGCTCAAAAGTTAACTCTCCGATCAAATCTTTCCATTTAAGCTTCTAAATAGGAATCGTTCTTTCAATTTAATTCTAAATCTTCCGAAAATCAAACTCGACCATACCCCCCGATCATAATACATATTACGAATTTACTTGAGACCTTAAGTAACGAAACAGGCGTTAATTCTTAAAACGATAAGTCGGGTCGTTACAGGGCCTCTAATTCAATATCCGAACATGCTCCCAAGACCAAAATCACCCTACGGAGCTATTGGAACCGTCGAAACTCCATTCAGGAGTTGTCTTCACACAATTAAAACTACGGTCGATTCCTACGACTTAAACTTCCAATTTAGAGACTATGTGTCCCACTACACTCCGAAAGCAAAAACAAACCCTCCCGCAAGTTACGTAACCACAAAATGAATTAGAGGGAGCAATAAATAGGGGTTCGAGGCTAATACTCTCAAAACGGCCGGTCGGGTCGTTACACAGTTAAGTTTTGATTGTGTGACATACGGTTGTCTAGGTATACACCAAAGTTCGACGGTTCAAAGATATTGAATCTACCGATTGATCGAGTATATCCGACATATGTTCACTATGGAAAATTCAAAGGGAAACCTACTTATCCAAATGCAATTGATCCTTACTTGCGAATCACATAGTTTTTCATGCATATTATTTCGGATAGCCATTCCCCATTCATGTGGGAATTATTTTATTTATTAAATAAAAGAGGGGTGAATGGAGAATGGAGGAGGGAAAATGGAGGATAATAAAAGTTTGGATTGGTTCCTTTTACAAAGGAACTTTGTCCCTCGTTTGATAGGAAGAGGAAAATTCTTGTGCTTATATATAGAAGCACTTCATTTAGCTCTTAAAGAGTTTAGAAGAGAGCAAGCTTCGCGCCGTCGTTATTGGCGCTCGCTAGGCTCCGCTTCGGATTTGAATTTGGTCAATTAATATGATTGATTGATAAAGTTGCACCTGTTGGAACTCAACTTTATTGGCTATAAATAGAGAGGATTAGCCTCATTTTTTAACCATCGAAAATCTGCAAACTCTCCCCTCTTTCTTATGTATTTCTGCATTATTTTGTCAAAGCAAAACGTAAGCATCTAGTGTGATCTGTTCCGCCATTTGAGTTCGCCAAAGTTCTGTGATTTGTAGTACCGCTATAGCAGAATAATTATATTATTCTATCCTGGGAGGAATTAATCTAAAACGTTGGATAACTGTGAGGAGATTAAATTCTTTAAGGACATACAAGAAGTTTACGGACTTAAAATTTTCCATTTCTGTTTTTTTTTTAATTTAAACTAACGTCTTCTATTTTCTTTTTTTGAACACAGTATAAATCTCTCCTCAAAAGTTCATATAAGAAAACGATAGATCTATAAGCTTTACTTTGAATTTAATACATGAAGCTAACTAAGTATTTAACATTTTTATGGTTCTTTGCCAGATATCACTCAATTACAAGGCTGTTAGGCTGTTTTCGATAGACCCTCGGCTCCCTCCCTCCAAGTATTCCCCACCATGCTCTTGGGTGACTCGAACTCACAACCTCTTGGTTGGAAGTAGAGGGTGCTCACCACTAGAGCAACCCACTAGATATCATTAGAGCACTCAATTTGCCAGATATCACTCAATGGAATCTCCTTTGTTACCACTCAATTAGAGCAGCAAAAATTTCACGATGTATTTTATTTGGACTCTGCTATTTAATTTAGTGCTAGTTTTTAAAATTATTTAATATGTACTCAGTTTCGACAAATATCAGACAAAACACGCTACTCTTTTGGTTGTAGTACAATCGTATTTTCGAATTTATACAATTGAAGTACAATGCAATGAAGAAGTGAGTCTTGAATTTGAATATGAATAATGCGTTTCAATCAAATGGGTGTCGTTGGAAAAGTTTGGAGATATCAACAAATCATTGTTGTTGCAAGCTTGATGAAGTAGGATTTAAATTTGGAATATAAAAAGTGAGTTTAAATAAAGTTGGTGTTGTTGAAAAAGGCTGAAAACATTGGCAAATCAAAATGAGTTTGTTAGTTGTTATTATTTTGATAAATTGATTATTGTGATTTGTTTTTTATATTATTTGAAACTTATTTTAAAATCTTAGTTCATTGGGAGTAGATTTGGATATGGATTTTTGAAATGCAAAAAACAAGTTATGTTGCTCACCAAAATTGTTACTTGAACTTCATCCAAGGTGGAGCGAGAATTTGATGTTTATATGTACTGAACACCGAATCCCTACCTGGTCATAGTTACTAGGTTAGCAATTAAATAGTTATTAATAAATTTTCTAATAAATCTATTTTAGAAATAAATCTAATACAAATACAAGATCTAAACGACATCTGTTGTTATTGTAGATTTTCTATTATAAATTCAAAATTTTAAAAAAAGTTACTGGATTTGTCCGAACTACTGATACACTCCCTCCACCCCTTACTTAAGAGAGAAATTCAAAAATAGCCAGATTTACAAGTGGTCATTCAAAAATAGCCATAATTTCAAAAGTAATCGAAATTTAGCCACTTTTCATGTAAAGATAAATCTGAACGAAAACACTATTCAAAATCCGAAAAATACTCCAGCATAATATGCTGAAAGTTCATACACATGTGCTCCAATCTCCAGTATATTATGCTAGAACTTTCCGTGTTGCAGTAAAATAGTGGCTATTTTTCAATGACTTTGCCAACACCGGCTATTTTTGAATGACCAATCCGAAAACTGGCTAACACGTGCTATTTTTACCTTACTTAAGCCATATATGCCTTATGTTCGGTCATGTACGTTACATTGTAACATTAGACAAGAATTTTGTCATTTCATGCTCATACTCTGAAATTGTTCCAAAGGGGCTAAAATTTTAAAAAATTTATGTACCTACGGCATGGCTTAAATAGAGGTCCTAAAAAGTGCTATTTGTGCACTTTGACAGTTGGAATTTCTGAGCTTGCTGGTTAGCCAATAGGTAAGGCCTAAACGGCCCACTTGGCTGAAAATGGGCATCATTCTACTGGATCAATTAGGACGCTCATAGTGTTCGACAGCCGGCCCATCACTATGATAATTCCCAATGCAATCATTTTTGGTAATTATACTTGGGAAAATAATATTGTATAACCGTTCTTAAGATAATAATCAAAAAATAAATATTTTTTGTATATTATTTATGTATATATACAAAAAAAAAAATTATACACTTTTATGGGTAAATAGTTTCAACTAAAAGTCATCTTTCCCATTATACTTTGAAATGAGAACACAAAAATGACATTTATATAGAAATATTCGGTCGTTCTCTTATCTTTTCCACAATATCTTTTAAATCATTCAATAAACAAAAAGAAAAAGAAAAAGGAAAACTCTCAATACAAGTATTCTATTTTTCTTGCGACTTTAGTGAAATTATTTGAACTCAAATCATTCTCTTTCTTATGTTTATATTAATGCAGAAAAGGTAGGTAACCAAATTTCGTTAAGAAATTAAAATTTGTTTTCTCATTATTACTTCTAAGAATGAGTTATTGGTTATTCTACTTATCTCACACTACTTATATTTGCTTAGTTTAAAAAAAATATTTACAAGTATTTAAATGCTCGATTCCATGGTTCGTCTAATTGACAATATGCCTAGTAAGTTTTCTGAATAAACCAAAGAAGGGTAAACATTTCGTCAACTCTATGATTGTGAACTCTCCAAGATTTGTAAAAAGCTCAAAATCCGTTGGGTTTCAATGCCGATACGAATATCGGGCGGAAAAACAAAAAAAAAAGAGCTAGAAATCCTTCTGTTTGCCTTTGGCAGCAGTTTATCTTAAACTTTTACCGTTTCAAAATTCAGTAGGCAAAAATTACTTTTAGCCCGCCGGCAAAATTATTTATATCTAATAACTGCAAAAATATAATATAACATTTATATATTTTTTGTATATACCATTATATATATATATATATATATATATATATATANACCATTATATATATATATATATGCTATTATTTTAGGAACGGTAATACAATGTCATTTATACTATCTATTTTGATAGACCGAATATCAAATTACTCCTTCCGTTCATTTTTACTTGTCCACTATTCTAAAAAAAAAATTCGCTTTTATTTATCCACTTTTGCATATCAAGAAGAAAATAATTTAGTTTTTTCTGTTTTACCCTTAACATTAATTACTCATTCCAAATTATTTTTCAAATTTATTAATATTATACACTAACTAATATAGATATTATAGTAAATTATATACTTTATTTATTATTTATTATTTTTAAGGGGTATGCAAAGTCAACTAAAAGTAAACTGAGGGAGTATTATACTAAAATGAAGGGGCAAAAGTAAAACAAGTTAATGTCTGCAAAAAATATCTCTTTGGGGAAAAACTGTCTAGCATTTCTATCATAGACTATATCTATTTCTCTCTTTTTTTTTGATTTTGTTGAACTTAAGAGTACGTCATAAGATAGTTCTTCAAAATATCTACACAAAATAGTCAAAAATTCTATTTGAGATACATTTTTCTAGACATCAAAAGGTAAAAGAGAGAACATAAAAGATTAAAAGAAATAGGGAAGAGAAGATTAAGATATTCCATTAGGTAGTTCCATTAATCAATAATCTTCATCTCTAACCAATTTTAGCCGCTGCACTGACACGACAAAAGTTCTGCAAAAAATAAAATGTTTCCAAATTATTATTTAATTAAAAAAAGAATACACACAAACAAAAAAATATTCAACAAAAAAATGATTAAATTTTATACGTACCTCCAGGGTACATCACCAGCAAGAAGCCAATCACCTTCGTTATCTTGATAAGTAAGTTCATAAGTATCACCATTTTCTTTACCTGTATAAAATCAATTAATTTAGCAAATTTTCCCCAATAAAACAGAAATTAAAAAAAACTCCAAATTTGGAAAATGGAATTAGCTAAAATAAGTAAAATTGCAAACTTAATTTATCGTACTTACTTTTTCCAAACATGGCAATTAAGGTGTCAGTGAGTGTCCCATAAGATTGAAAAAGACTCAAGTCAATCTTTCTTGCTATTCCAACTCCTTCCATTTTCACTTTCACGTACTTAGAATTTGATCTTCTGCCACCACCACCACTGCCACCGCCACCGCCGCCGTTCTCCACCGTGACATAGTTCATTGCACCGCCGGTACGGCGGATATGGTGGCAGAGCTTCTTCCTCAAAGAATTAACCGGTGGCCACCCCACCACCCCTTCTTCATCCCCATCCTTTCTGTTCATTCAATTGAAACAATGTCAACAATTTCTTGAAATCATTATAGAATACATAACAAAAACAATAATAATAAGAGCCGGATTTAAGATTAAATCTATTAACATTGAATCCGTTTTACTTTTCTATGTTATGAGTTTATAATATAATATTTGTTAGAATTTTAGTAATTTTTCTCATATATCAATAATGCGGGCTCAATAACCTATTACTTCGTGTTATTCTCAAATAATTAAAATCATAATGGACTAGAAGTAGAAAAAATGCTATTAAAAATTTAAAAATACCTTTGAGGTTCATTGTGATCATTAGCTTTGTCCCAAACAAGCAAAGGCAAAGTTTGAAGAACTTGAACATTTTCATCTACAACATCAAAAACTTGACTCGAGCTACATTTCTTGGTGTTGTTCAACTTGAAATTTCCACTCAAAGACTCAATTTTTACGTCATCAAAATTACACCCTTTTGCTGAATTGCTACATAAAGCAAGCCCCAATTGAAGTTCCATCATATTATCCAAGAAAATTTCAGTTTCTTAACACAATGTATGAGAAGAAAATTAGTCTTTTAGTATCCTAATATATATGTTGTGAAATGAACTAAACAGTTGCTATATATATGTGTGTGTCTATATATAAATTATACTATATGTACTCTACTACCCCCCTATACACCCACCCACCCCACCTACCAACAAAACAGAGGGGACATGGAGAGATGGAGGGGTGGGACAAAGAAGTGAAGAAGGGACAAGAGTTTCTCAAGTGTGTCTCTATCATTGCCATACTTTTAGCCGACCCAAATTATCACACTAAGAATCCTTTTTTGAGCAGACAATAAGTCATTTATTAGTATTAAATATGTTGCATAATCGTACACGCATTCAATGCGCGTGCATGCATGCCACCCCTCACTTCCCCTTTTTATAGGAAACATTTTATTACTCTTTTTGTTATGGTGTACAATTTCATAAGAGAAAGTAAAGGCATGCCTTCCTATTTTGGGTTTAACTAAAAAAATACTTCATCTAATTATAAATTATTCATAATGAGTAAAATTAATAACATTAAAAAGTAAGATAATAACTTGCTATAATATGTTGAATAACAGTATTAATAATGTAAAGGGATCTTAATATGATGTTAGTACATAGTACGTACTCTATACGGTTAAAATCGAGCCCATTCAATTTTTCTATCTGACCGGGACCAGGGAGCTGCATCGAAGGTCGCCCCCGTAGTGGATCAGACCAAGGTACGAGGACAAGGTACCAAGTTTGGGATTCGAGATACTTGTCGAGATCGAGGACAGCAGCGATCGAGATCGAATGAGACAGGCATCGAGCAAGATCGAAAATAACATAACAACGGAAAGGCGAAATATCCGTAACTTGTCAAAAATCATGGCGAAAATCTCGGAACGAATCAAATTAGGAACGGTTAATTAGCTAATCATGGGATTTTCTTCTATAATTAGAGTTATACCACAAGTAGAATTCCTCTACTATATAAAGGAGAGTATTAACCATTTGTAATATATATTGTTCTCGCATAAAAAAAGCCAATATAACGCTCTCTCTTTAGCTTATACTCTCTTGTTCATCAGCTTGCTTTATTTTTTACTGTTTTGGTATCAATCAGTTCGAGGGCACCCTAACTCGAGGGTTGAATTCTGTTTCAACACTGGTTTGCTTTACTCTATAGTTCATTTCTGTTATTAATCTTCACATTTATCAATTTGTATTAGGTGAAATCACGTGTCCTTAAAACCATATTATAAGTTTAATTGTTATCCAATTTTAAGGGTAAACAGTTTGGCGCCCATTGTGGGGCTAAAGATAATAGTGATTGCTTAATATTGATTTCGATGACACACACTGCTTTACATTTATTGTAAGAATTTTTGTTTTGAGGATAAATATGTCAAACTCACAAGCAGCGCCTATACATGGTGACAACGGCCTCAGATTTCACGGGGAAAAATGACAAGATAGCCGCCCCAGGGATCGAGGTGCCTCAGGATGACCTCGAGAGAACACCGACTGTAAATCCCGTCGATGTCAGTTCACATGTCGCCCTAAATGCAAATTTGGGCGTGGATCCCGAAGGTAGCGTACGTAGGGAATTTCGATCAGGTGGGGGAGGTACGCAGGGGGGAGAAGATGGTGGAGTTAGCCTCCAATTGATATTCGAAATGTTACATGCTCAACAAGTCGCTATAGCACAACTACAAAATCAGCACCGAACACCGAGTAGGATCGAACCAGAAGTCATCCACAGGACCGAGCCTGTACCGGAAAGGTCGAACGCCAACGAATCGGGGACTAACTCCGCCATTATGAAAATGCTCGAGGAGCTCACTAAACGGATTGAATAGGGAGAAAAGAAAATCTAGGCAAATAACAAGAAAGTAGAGACATACAATTCCCGGGTTGACCAAATACCGGGGGCACCCGCCGATTCTAAAGGATATGGATTCAAAGAAATTCGTACAGAAGCCTTTCCCTCCAAGTGCGGCACCGAAACCCATTCCGAAGAAATTCCAAATGCCAAAAATTCCTAAGTACAATAGGACCACCGACCCTAACGAGTATGTCACTTCTTATACAAGCGCAATTAAAGGGAATGACTTGGAAGACGATGAGATCGAATCAGTTCTACTAAAGAAATTTGGAGAAACCCTATCGAAAGGAGCAATGATATGGTACCATAATTTGCCGCCTAATTCCATCGATTCTTTCGCCATGCTTGCAGACTCCTTCGTAAAGGCACATGCCAGAGCAATAAAGGTTGCGACTAGGAAGTCGGACCTCTTCAAGGTGAAATCAAGAGACAACGAAATGTTGAGGGAATTCATATTTCGGTTCCAGATGGAACGCATGGAACTACCACCGGTCACAGACGATTGGGTTATTCAAGCCTTTACTCAAGGTTTGAACAAATGAAGTTCGGTGGCATCACGATAGCTAAAGCAGAATTTAATTGAATATCCAGTGGTAACCTGGGTCGATGTACATAATCGGCACCAGTCAAAGATCAGGGTCGAGGATGATCAATTGGGGACCCCTTCCGGTTCCGTTTATCCAAACATGCCTGTCGACAGAACTCAAAGGGATATCGATAGAGAACCCCGGTTGAACAGAGATCGGTATCAACCATAGAACGTAGATCGTAGAAACAGCGGCCCAGGACGCAATCCCATCCGAAATGATCGAATGAATGATCGAGGACAGAGCTCTCGAGGGCTTATGAGCAAAAGTGGCTTCGATAAACATGCTGATCCCACAGAAGCACCACGATTATCAGAATACAACTTCAGCATCGACACATCAGGTATTGTGTCAGTCATTGGGAGAATCAAAGATACTAGATGGACCAGGCCCCTACAAACTGATCCATACCAAGGAAATCCCAATCAAATATGCAAATATCATGGTACACATGGTCATAGAACCGAAGACTGCAGACAACTAAGGGAGGAGATGGCCCGTCTATTCAACGAGGGTCACCTTCGAGAATTCTTGAGCGATCGAGCTAAAAACCATTTCAGAGACATGGATGCAAATAGGAAAAACGAGCAGGAAGAACCACAACACGTGATTCACATGATCGTTGGTGGGGTCGATATTCCACAAGGGCCCGTGTTCAAACGCACTAAAGTATCAATCACCAGGAAAAAACGAACTCAAGACTATGTGCCAGAAGACACTTTATCATTCAATGATGCGGAAGCAGAAGGGGTCTCTCAACCCCACAATGATGCTTTGGTAATCTCTATCCTTATGGATAAAATTCAGGTTAAACGTGTTTTAATTGATCCAGGAAGCTCGGCCAATATTATTCGATCGAGAGTCGTGGAGCAGCTCGGCATACAAAATCAGATCATACCCGCAGCATTGATTCTCAAGGGCTTCAACATGGCGAGTGAAACAACTAAAGGTGAAATCATCCTACCAGTAAATGTAGCCGAAAATATTCAAGAAACAAAGTTCCATGTGATCGAGGGTGATATGAGATACAACGCACTGCTCGAAAGACCCTGGATTCACAACATGAGGGCGGTCCCCTCAACCCTTCACCAAATGATGAAGTTCCCAACACCGGATGGAGTAAAAAAGGTGTATGGGGAACAACATACTGCCAAAGAAATGTTCGCGGTCGACGAAGTAACACCGGTATCAGCGCTTTCGTCAACAAAGGGATCGGGAGTCCAAAGGAAAACAGAAAGCTAAATAGCAACCACAGCCACTAGCCTCGACTCAGTCGGGGAAGTAGGGAACGGACGAGGACGATGACTACTGGATCCCTCGATCCTTCATAATCCCCGAGGATTCCGATGCCACCAAATCGACAGTCGAGGAATTGGAGCAAGTCATACTGATCGAGCATCTACTCGATCAAAAGGTATACCTGGGCACGGGGTTAACCCCCGAGCTCAGGGAAAAACTCATTAAATTTCTTATCAATAATATGGATTATTTTTCTTGGTCCCACCTATATATGACAGGGGATCCCGCCGGAGATCACTACACATCGACTGAGTTTGGACCCAAAGTTCTGCCCGATAAAACAAAAGAGAAGGCCCCAGTCCGAGATAAAACATGCATTCATCAAGGACGAGTTAACCAAACTTCTCAAAATAGGATCCATTCGGGAGGTAAAATATCCCGAATGGTTAACAAACGTAGTCGTAGTCCCTAAAAAGAAAAATAAACTTAGAATGTGCGTAGCCTATAAAGATTTAAACAAAGCATGTCCAAAAGACTTTTTTCCTCTACCAAATATCGATCGCATGATCGATGCCACGACTGGTCACGAGATCCTTAGTTTTCTCGATGCCTTCTCCGGGTACAATCAAATACAAATGAACCTGGAGAATCAGGAAAAGACTTTGATCATCACTATGTACGGTACCTATTGTTATAATGTAATGCCGTTTGGTTTAAAAAATGCTGGTGCCACTTATCAACGCTTAGTAAATCAAATGTTCGAAGAACAAATAGGTAAATCAATGGAGGTTTATATTGACGATATGCTAGTTAAGTCCCTGCGAGTAGAGGACCATTTGACACATTTGCAGGAGACCTTCGATATACTAAGAAAATACGACATGAAGCTCAACCCAGATAAATGTGCATTCAGGGTCGGCTCGAGCAAGTTCCCCGACTTTATGGTATCAAATCAGGGGATCAAAATCAACTCCGATAAGATCAAGGCAATCGAAGACATCACAGTCGGGGACAATGTTAAGGCTATACAAAGATTAATAGAGCGCATAGCCGCCCTACGCCGATTCATCTCGAGGTCTTCAGATAGAAGTCACAGGTTCTTCTTACTGCTCAAAAAGAAGAAAAGTTTTGTATGGACCCCGGAATTCCAACGAGCATTGGAAGAATTAAAGCGGTACCTCTCGAACCCGCCACTGCTTCATACCCCGAAAGAGGACGATTGATTCTACTTGTACTTAGCAGTCTCGGAAATCGCGGTAAGTGGGGTCCTAGTTCGAGAAGAGCAAGGTACGCATTTTTCTGTTTACTATGTTAGTCGAACTTTAGGTGAGGCCGAGACCCGGTACCCACACATAGAAAAATTAGCGCTTGCCCTA